ACTAGGAATAACACAATAGTAAACCGATTAAATTAGCCCGTCATATCCAGCTTCGCGTCGATCTTAATTAAATTACCGGAGGAATAATTCATAATTCAGTATAGCGATTTCTTCTGTTGGAGTTGGAGTAGTTGCGCTGATTAATATTAACAGTGGAAATTGTATATTCTTTGGAAACGAACATTTTTCGCGGCGCATTGAAAATTCCGCTCGGTCGGCGCGAAGTTTTCGAATTCACTTACAATGCAGGTTTTAATCCTCCCCGGACCATCTCTGTACACGCGGAATAAGTCCAATATAAGTCCCGCAACTTTTCTGCCGCTATGTAAATTATTTCTTGTCGAGCGTACCACTATGGCAAGTGAATATTAAAAGTTTCGCCGAGAATTACGAATTCAAATTAGCATTTCGAACTACTTTAATTAGAAAGGAAGTACAATTTACCTAGCAATGAAGTTAAAAACAAATTTTAACAACTCTTCTGCTTAGCTGATTTAATCGCGGCGGCGGAAAGTTCTGATGGCTTTTTTTGCCTTTCTGATGATATAATTTTTTCGTGGCTGGATTTTATTCGAATTAAAGAATAACGGTGTAAATTTTAATTACGAATACGCTAACAAATCAACGCGAACCTTCGATATCTAATTTATTTTGGGGTCTCATTAGGAGCGGAATTGTATACCAGAAATTGCCAGGTGGGAAAAACTTCGCGAACAATAAAAAGGCAAACTTTCAAAAATTCCAGCAACAGGAAAACAATGGTCCAATTAACTCTTGTATTCAATCCCTTTGCTGACGTGTACTGTAAATTTGATGACTCCGCCGAAAACGATTCTCTTTTTATTTTACCACAACGAACCAGCGGCAGGGATACCCTCAAAAACCCCAAAATAATATTAATAATACCTCAACAATATATCTCATTTATCGATTAATTTTATCGCAAAATTCCCGGCTAAACCAGCTCGTAAAACAGCGCGGAAACGCGGGCTTCCCGTCGTGGTAAATTTCGTTTCTACATCCACCCGGCCCGGCACTGATGCGTTCCAGAAAATGCCAGCTGGCTGGATATGGTCGTGGAAAAGTTTTTCGGGCGAATCGGTCGCTCCGCTTGCTTCGCCTCTTCCGCGTTTTCGTTTTCGGTAAAAGTTTAATTGTTTCATGGTAGTTAATGATTTGTTTTGTTTCGCCGGCGTTTTGCTTGCTTTGGGGCTTAGCGAATTTTTCCCTCGTCGGCCGTACGAAATTTAGCGCTCGTTTTAACTGGTAATCCTCGCATCACGGCAAAACACGCGTTTTAATACTTTACTACCGCGTTATATAAATAGTTGTATCGGGCGTGTATTAACTTATTTACTAGACAGTAAGAGGCCTGTCTCATCTTTGCGTTATAATCGCATTTGCTCCGGAGATGATCTTATCAGGTTACAAGAGCTAACGCGATTAGTGTCGTTGTAATAAAATTTACCTTTCATTAAAGTAGCTCCTTTTGAACTTTCTATTATAATAGCTTCGTGTAAGAAGAATGAATTGGGGTATGGAATTTTTTGGCTATTTGATGCGAATTATTTTCTATTAGAACGCGACAGCGGAGTGAAGAAAAACCGAACTCGAACGCGGAGCGGAATTTAAATGGGGGGCGAATGATAGATAATAGCCCGAAAAATAAGAATAGAGCGCGACGGAACGAGAAAAGCCGGGGTCCTCATAAATCATAATGTAAAAGCGACCTCGAAACGTCGCCCCGTCCGCGGGTCTTCATCGGTATCGATTAATATGCAATTCGGAGTTCGAAATGCGTGCGGATGTGGAAAAATAATTTTTCTATTGGTCTAATTTCTTTCGATCGATTTGAGAGTGCTTTTAAAATTTCAGGGAGCTGCGGAGATGGTTGAGATTTTGGCGGGCGTTCTGCACCAGACGGGCCGTGAAATAAAACGAAAATTTCCACAGCTAAAATCGCGCAGAGAGAACGGAAGGAGTGTCAGTAAAAAATTGCGGTTCCGACAATGAAGATTCCCCGGAAAATTGACCTAGCGCTTCATACATTTTACGCTCCTAAGAATAGTTTTCATTATAATAGAGGATATAAAAAAGAACCAGGGAAACTTATTACTTTTTCACATGCTCTAGAGGAATGTGAAGCGGAGGAGACTATAATTTTAGATTTTAGAATCTAAATGAAAATGGTTATGAAGTTTTTATCTAATTCATCTTCGTGGTAAACATATGATCAATGTTTTACCGATGCCCGGCAACAGAGTACTTTAGAGTTAAGACCCATTAAACTTCCCGAAAACTTCCAACAAACAATCTCTAACTTATTTTAAAGACACTTAGCTTGCGTTATTACGCTTTAGTTGAATCTCGATGTATTTTCGCTATACGGAATTACATCCGAACTGTTCTTTTCGACTGTCTCGAAAGACGTTCGTCTGAAATACGATAGCAATTGTGAAATAACACAATGTAGAACGTTTTTAGTGTAAACTAATACCGCTGTTTGCGACAAGTGATTCTCCAAACGAGAAATCGCGCGGCTTTTGTTCGTCGTAAATAGTAATTTATTTACTCACAAAAAAAATATAATCTTGCGCAGGGAAAAATCTGTAGAAGAGAGCCCGATACACGCTTTCATTTGCTCTAATAACGCGCCCGCGAAACTCGATATTTTCCCCCATCATCTGTGGCGTTTTCGCAAATAATAAAGATATTTCGAAGTTTTCCTATTTTCTACTTCTATACATGCGATTCCGTGATGTACATTCGGGGCGAGCGCGCGGCGGTATGCCCGCGGGAAGCGCCCGGGAGAATAGTCGCGGCCAACTACAATATGGATTACTGCGTGTGAACTTTCCGGCAACTCTCATTTGTTTCCCCGACGACTGGATCTATCCCGGAATATAGAGTGTGGGGTAGCCAAAGACAAACAAATAGTCCGGGTTGTATGCGCGCTGTGAGAGAGAACGGGCCTTTTCCTAGCGCGTTACTTCTATTTTATTGCACCGTATTATCGGAGGTGAGCGATTCAGTCAGTCAGCGACGTTGGTAGATTTATATTATAATTTATATAATATTGAAGGGGGTGATTCTTGGGTGAATTTTAAGAAGAAAACTTCATATGAACCTATGTCCTAAACGTGTTAACTTTTGAGATAGAGGGTGTTAAAGTTTTAAAGAAAAAAATCAATTTTTTACTGTCATTTCCATACCACTTTAAATATTTTTATGATATTTGGTGTACGGGGTTTATGCATTAAAGAGCGTTTTTTGACCTAAAAAACATTTTTTATTTCCAACAGTGGCGTCCGTACTGGACTCGGGACAAATATTGTTGAAGGTAAAAGTGATACGCCACTGCTTTTACTTGAAATAAAAATTAGTTTTAGAAGCACAGTTCAATTTAGAACAAATTTGATTTCTTCACTTTTTTCCGTACGACTCACCGTTTCGCATAAAAAAATTAAATCTATTCATTTGTACTAACCTCTGCATTTTCCGCTGTGCAGAAATTAGGTTATAATAAATTTTAGGTTTAGGGCATATGTTATTAAAAAACACCCTGTATAGAAACCTTGAAACTTCATAATTCGGTCGGGAGGCGAAAGAATGCTCGTCTTCAGGTCGGGGTAGGTGAAATTAAGATCCGAAACTTTATTTTCGCAAATTAAAATCAGATATATAACCCCATTTCGGGCACTCAATCGCGCGTCCCGTGATGAAAAAAAAAAACTTTTTCCCGCTTTCAATTTCGCGCGGTAATAAACTCTCCCGCGCCGAGATGCTATACAGAGCGTCCCGCTCATGAAAAAAAATTAAAAAAATCTATTTCATAACCGAACTCATCGATATTTTTATTATCCCTCTCCGCGTATACTGTACGTATTAGAATACAATCTTGCAAAAATTCAGCCGGCTCCGGGCTGAAATCCGTTTTGTCAACGTCTTTAAACCGTAATCCCCGACAGTTCCCGAGATTTTGTCTCGAATCACGTCGACGACGCACAAAAGAAGTTGTTGTTAAATTATCCGTTCTATATATAAATCTGCTCCTGCGTAATACGGCTTCGGATATAATGGGCACCGAATGCGAGTCTCATTTCTTTCAAGTTCGAAGGAAAAAATTATTACCCGAATTTTCTAGGGCTTCTAAACACGCGTTAATTATACTCCGTTCGCATTCGAGCTTATTTTAACATTTTTTGAGCATAAATTATACTCCGTTCGCCCTCAAGTTCAAACCTTATTGAATCACTCGTGATGTCTTCTGCATTAAAAATTAGATTCTATTATCTACTATTTCTTATAATTGCGAAGGTAGTATATAGCGCTGTATAATCTGTATAAGTAAGTAAATAAAAGATGAAAAAAACCCCGGAATTCATTCGACCAAAGATTGATTGGGTTTCTGAGGGTTTTTTAAAAGAAAATCTCCCGTGGAATGCGATTAAATTTCGAGCAAACGACGGAAAACAATCGTCAATAAACCGTTTTTTTATATCCCCATCCATGCCCTGCCTCGGAACGTTATTATTATCAAAATCGTTTATTGGCAAGATATAAAACGGAAGACGGAGCCAATTCCGCAAAAATCTAATTTTTCCGGTCCCCCTATTCCTGCGGAGTGATGCCTGCTCCGGAGATGCGTGGGCGACTGACATAACCCTTAGGTCCGCGATATTTAGGGTGATGGAGATACAAGAAGCTCATTACATCAGGTCGCAGGAAAAGAAGGGTGGGGCCGCCTTTTCCCTAAATGAAAGACGCCCTTCCTGCGGATCCTGCGTCCGAATTTAATTAGAAAATATATATAATCACTCTGTAATTACCTGTATGAGTAATAAATTCGAAGGACTAGAGGCGTAAATTCTCCCGAAATACTAAAAAAATATTGCATGGAGTAAGGCATTAAGTAATTAGTTGTATTAATTCCTGTACTTTATACTTATAGGCTTTTTGATAAAAACGAAAATTATCTGTGTTTGAATAGATTACGAGTAGAGAAATGTGATCTTGGCTCGTTTAATTTTGTATTAAATATGATGTAAAAGTTTATTAATATCGGTCGAATTTCTAAATGATGGAACCAAACAGTGCTTCGAGTGAGAAAATGGGTTACGAAGAAGCCAGAAAGAGCTTCAGTGAAGACAATACTAAAACCGAAACGAAGTATGTTTTCGATGATGAAAAACAACTCACTGATAAAGGTAAAATAATTATTTTGCTAACGATGAAAGTATTGATGATATTTTTTCAATAGGTCCGAAATTTGGAAAGCGACATATTGAAATGCTGTTTTACTTCTTCGCCATATTCGTCAGTTACTCAGTAAGAATACATTTATCATTGTCTATTGTCGCAATGACTGATTCCACGGCTAACGAAAACCAAAATATACCCGTAAGTATATGAGGTAATCATAGAAAAAAAGAGATTTAGAATCCCACAACAATACTCTTTCTTTTTCCTCTATATCAGTTGTCTTTAATTGCGCACAAATTTGCATATATAAAAATGGAAAAATTTTCAGACATTCGATTGGACAAACCGAAATATCATTCTCTCGTCTTTCTTCTGGGGTTACGTAATTCCTCAAACGATGGCGGGCTGGTTAATGACCCGCTACGGCCCCAAATGGTTCCTAATAGGCACCTTGGGGATTTGCTCTATAGTGGGATATTTAATACCGTATGTAGCAGTTCAATTCGGCTCGACTGGCCTCATAATTTGCAGGATAATACAGGGATTCACCCAAGGATTCCTCGTGCCCTCGGTACCGATATTTATCAGCAGATGGGTGCCGGTCAGCGAAAGAGGAAGGATTAATACTTTTGTGTATTCGGGTAAGAATCTTTCTATTGTGTTTAAATGTGAATTATTTTGTTAATATTTTCAGCGAGTTCGCTTGGAACTGTTTTCGCGATGATGATTACCGGAGCTATAGCAGCTAGCGTGTACGGTTGGCCGATGGTGTTTCATTTTTTCAGTTCTTTAGGTGTAATTTGGTGTATATTGTACGCGTTTTGTGGTTACAATTTACCCGCTGAATGCAAGTCTATTACAAAAGAAGAGCAAGCATTTATCGAGAGCTCTACCGCTCGAGTGGTTAAAGAAAAGGTGCGATTTGTAGATAAAAAATTCGTTGTTATGATAATTTTCTGTTTCCAGTTGCAAGCTCCATGGAAGGATATGTTTAAATCAATCCCGTTTCTAGCTCTACTATACTCTTACACGTGCTTCATTCTCGGATTTTGGATACTACTAACCCAAATTCCCACTTACATGAGCAAAATCTTCATGTTCCAGATCAAATCGGTAACATCTACAGCGCCTCGCCGATAGTTTAATGATTTATTAGGGTAAATTCGATTTCAGAACGGATTTTTATCGGCCTTGCCCTACATCATGCAGTTTCTGCTCGGCCTCTTATTAAGCATCGCGTCTGATTTCATTACGAACAGAAAAATTATGTCCCTGACCACCACTAGGAAAACTTTTAACGCCGTCGGTAAGTTAATAATGTATACCTACCTCATCGAATGTAACTTGGCAGTTGAAAATTTCATCCCCACTGTCAAGCTACATTTTACGAAGTATAAAATTAAAAAGTTATGCAACACAACTTGCACGTACAGTACTTATTACACAGCAATAACTGCTTAATATGTTTTATATACGAAGCATTAGTTTTGGTGGTACAATTATTGTAAATTTTTAGGTATGATAGTACCAGCAATAAGCCTGGTATGTCTAGCGTATTGTTCGAACGCGATATTGGGCATTGTGATACTGATAACAGCCGTAGGAGTGAACAGCGCCTGCCTGTTGGGCGTTTTCATTAACAACATAGACCTGGCGCCCAATTTCTCGGGCGTTATACAAGGAGTCGTTAATGGATTTTCGAACATATTCGCGATTTTAGCGCCGCTCGTCGCCGAACTTTTGGTTACTGACGAAGTAAGCGCGACATTTACTAGTTATTAAAGCTAATTTCTCGTCTTTCCCTTCTGCGTTCGATTGTATTATGTACTTTACTTTGTTCTCCCGCTCGAACTGCCAGCCCTCGCTACTTTCGAGCGATAAATAATAGGCAAGAACGGAACCGTTGACGCTGTATTTGATTTCTAGCGAAATCCAGGCCACTGGTGCAGGATATTTTATCTGGCAAGTGCGGTTTATGTATCTGGAGCGATCGTTTTCTGTTGTTTCGGTTCGGGGGAGACTCAACCGTGGAACGATAATAAAAGAGTTAAAGGTATAAGCTTTCGCTAAATTTAACGTACAGTCCGTCGTAAACCGGAGTTTTATTTTTAGATAACGCCAAAGTGTAGCGGCAAGAGGTTGCCCGGAAAATGCGACGTCCATTTATTCTGTTACAGACATAAATATTTAATAAATTAATCTTGATTTTGCCAAATATTTGAGTAGGATTATTAATTTCAAAAACCTTGGAATATCGTAGTTTCTACTAACAAACTATATACTAATAAACTAACATTCTTAACTAAATATTTGTTAAAAGTTAACAGATATTTTGTTTTTGGTTAAAAAAGCAGACTCATTGTTTCACGTTAACATCAGATAAAAGGTGGTGATATAACTTTTTAAAATGCTCATTTCCAAATTACCAATGGTCTAAAGAGGTCGTAAAAAATGACGAGAAGAGGAAGCACAACCATCGCGGGCGAATTGGTAACGTTCGAGCAAACGAGAAGAACCAGCCAAACTAGCAAAGATCCCGAAGACGTCAAAGAAGCCGAAGCAAACGAGGAATTGAAACGTTTAAACGACGAAGAATCCACCGCACCCACAAACAATGGTAATTTTCCTAAACTACGTTACATCTCGTATAATTTTACTCGACATTTCCAGGACCGAAATTCGGCAAACGACACATACAAATATTCAGTTATTGCTTCCTACTCTTCATAAACCTGTGCATGAGATTGCACATATCGCTCACCGTACTCGCGATGATCGACTCAGCTAACCCCAACAAAAACGTGCCGGTAAGTACACCAACATCGCCACGACCCCCGCAAAACCGCTCGACATTTCCCAGACATTCAACTGGACGAACAAAAACGTGATCCTGTCGTCCTTCTTCTGGGGCTACATCGCGCCGCAAATCATCACCGGCTGGCTGGCCACCCAATACGGCCCCAAGTGGTTCGTCATAGGCAGCACCTGCGTGACCTCCTTCATCGAATTCCTGATACCCACGCTGGCCGTGCACTTCGGCTCCACGGCGGTGATCGTCTGCAGGATGCTGCAGGGCTTTTCGCAGTCCTTCCTCGTGCCCTCCTTGGGCTGCGTGTTCAGCAGATGGGTGCCGGTGAGCGAGAGGGCCAGGGCCGGCGCTCTGATGGCCGCTTGTAAGCCGCTTCAATACACATATAACAGCGATGGAATTGTATATTTTTTTGGGTTTTATAGGCACACCGATGGCTACTATAATTTCGATGAGTGTGGCCGGTCCGTTGGCGGCCAGCTCGTACGGATGGCCTTTGAATTTTTACACGTTCGGTTGCGTCGCTGTCGTTTGGAGCGCGATCGGAGTGTTTTTCAATTACAGCTCGCCGAGCAGCCATCCTAATATATCCCAATTGGAGAGGACATTCATTATCAAAACTACTGTTAACACCGACGGGCCACAGGTAAACGTTCTGTTCTAATTCACTCTCTTCTCATCATCTTCTTCTTCAGATAGCTCTTGTCCACTCCTTTCACATTTCGCCAATCATGTCTTTTGCCTTCCGAAACCATCTGTTTCTAGCTATAATCTACTAAACATTCTGTTCTAATTCACTATCTTCTTATCATCTTCTTCAGCTGAATCTTGTCCACTCCTTTCCCGTTCCTCCATTCATGTCTTGGTCCTTCTGAAACCATCTATCTCCTGCTACATACTCTACTTATATACTATTAGATATCAATGGAATATTTTTAGAGAAAAACTCCATGGGGAAGGATCTTAACGAGCGCGCCTCTGTGGTCCCTCAAGTACTCCTATACGAGTTACGTTCTGCTGACGTGGATGTTGTTGACGCAAATTCCGAGTTATTTGGGCAAAGTGTTGCAATTCAACATAGCGACGGTAAGCAGGAGTCCTGTTGTTAAACGATCACTTTTATCACAAGTGTTATTTATTTTCAGAACGGCTACATGACCTCGTTCATTTTCTTCTTCCAATGGATGTTCGCGGGGCTGATGAGCATCCTATCCGATTACTTGACGAATAATAATTATTTGCGAATAACCGCGGCTAGGAAGATTTTTACCGCCATTGGTAACTAATCTCTTCGATCGAATTATATAATTCTCGTTTATTAAACTTGTCGCTGATAGGATTGGGAGTACCTGCAGTAGCGATGATATTCCTCGCGCAATGCACGAAGGATTCCTCGACGATGGCAGTGACGTGGTTGCTGGTGAGTGTGGGAGCAGAAGGGGCCTGCATGTGCTCGCTGGTGATAAACGCCTTGGAGATAGCGCCCAATTTCGCTGGTATCCTGCAAGGATTCATCAACGGGTTTTCGCACGTGTTCGCTCTGCTGGCTCCTCTGCTGGTGGATATTTTTGTTAAAGACGAAGTAAGAGTATTCACTGCGTATTGTGGTACAATTTTATTGAGTTAAATATCGAATAAATTGCAGAATGACCCGGAGGAATGGAAGAAGATTTTCTACTTGATCAGCGGCGTGGCTTTTAGTGGAGCTTTGGTGTTTGTTGCTTTCTCTACGGCTGAACCTTTACCGTGGAACGACGAGGAGGAAAAGAAAGGTAAATAAACTAGGAGAGTTTCGAGAGATGCATTAGTTAATTTATCGTGGTTTTTCAGATGGTATTAAAAGCTGAATAAATGAAATGTTCGTATAACGCATTACAAAACTTGCATGTAGGTATTTAAATATAATAAAGATAATCTTTTTTATGGTAGTGTTTTCTGTACAATTTTCATCTCATCCACCTTTCAAAATTTATAATTAGATGAAGAAAAAATGCGGTGTATTACACAAATCAATCGTGAAACGTTTATCAAAGGTTTCACCACAAATGATTTATGATCCACGAACTGCAAACAAAGAGCTACTATTTAATGATATTTTAAGTAGACACAATCAATGAATATTTAAAATTATTATCAAATATCTATTATTTTAAGGTAATCCCAAGTCCATGTATTAATGAGTTATAGAATTTCAAACATCCATTTCCATTATACATATATTTTGTTGATCAATATTGAATCAATTCACGCACCACTGATTAACAACAGCTAGTTAATATAAATTATTAAATATAATTGATAATAGCAATTATTTAGTTAACGTTACGTCGTCACCAAATATCAATATCAATTATAAATGAATAAAATTCCTTAATTAAGAAATATTTAATAATCTCTCTCTTTAATTAAGACGCACATAAAGTTTTCAGTAGTTATACTTACGATTAATTTTATTGTTCTTAATAGATAACAATATAACAATAATTGTCTGGCGAGAAATTTAAAACAACGATGTCATAATTAACGAATTAGCAGATAATCGCAAATTGCATAAAAAGATGGCACCATTTTAAAAAATAAACATTAGGTTACTACGAATACTATATCACATGACAATCAAATATTTATCAATTAATCCAAATTAAACTATTTAAATAAAAGATAAACAACCTGGTCCGTAGTCTTCCTTTGTTCGAATTGAAACGGTGTAAATTTCCTATATCAAAAATGAAATATTTGCGTTCGCGTCAAAAAAACTACAATACGTTATATAAGGATAACTTTTAATTCAACTCAGGAAACTAGATTGCGTTATGAATCGAAATGAATCGACGTGGAAGTAGTACACTCACTGGTGAAATTGTTACTTTCGATGCTGTACACAGGCGGAAGAGCAAATTAGGCAAAAATGTAGAAGAAGAGGAAGAAGAAGAAGTTTCCAATGTCACTGGTAAAATATAAATATTTTTGTACGATTAATTCACTGTATTAAAATTCTTCAAGGTCCAAAATTTGGTAAACGCCACGTCCAAACCCTCTGTTACTTCTTCATAATCCTATTCAACCAATGCAACAGGCAACACCTATCACTCACCATCGTCGCCATGATGGACTCGAAACTAAACGAAAAAAACAACATTCCGGTACTTTAAAACGTTAATCACACAACTCGAAGATAATTATCAATCTAATTTCTTTAGACCTTAAATTGGACGAACAGAAACGTCATCATTTCATCGTTCTTCTGGGGCTACATCGGCCCGCAAGTCATCACCGGCTGGTTGATGACCAAATACGGACCGAAATGGTTCCTGATCAGCAGCTCGGTAATCTGCTCCCTACTCAGCTGCATGATACCATGGTTCGCCATACACTGCGGTTCCACATCAGTTATCATCGTCAGAGTACTGCAAGGACTCTGCCAGTCCTTCATGATACCTTCGGTGTCCTGTTTCATGAGCAGGTGGATACCCGTCACCGAGAGAAGCAGGACTGGCGCTTTTATTATCGCAAGTAATAAAATCTTCGACTGGTCGTTGGTAGGAAATTAATGAGTTGTTTGCAGGTTCCTCTGTGGCTACTGTTATAAGTATGCCGATATCCGGAGCCATTGCGGCTAGTCCTTATGGGTGGCCCATGACTTATTACGCTTTCGGCGGAGCTTGTGTATTAAGCTGCGTTTTATACGGGGTGCTGGGATCGAACTCGCCCAGCACGCATAAGAGCATCACTGAAGAAGAGAGGAGTTTTATAGTTAAAACTGCCATCAATACCACCGTCAAAGGGGTAAGTGAAGAGTACTAAATTTTAGATGATAATAGTAGATATGATTTAATTTATAGCCGAAGACGCCATGGGGAAAAATAGTAACGTGTGTACCGTTTTGGGCTTGCGTTTTTACCACAACTTGTATGGTGCTATTGAATTGGATATTTCTCAGCCAAATTCCCACGTACATGAGCAAGATAATGAGATACGACTTAAAGTCGGTGAGTTTTTAATCAATTATAAACAAATGTTTATTACCAAATAAATATGTTATAGAACGGTCTATTGACTTCGTTAATATACCTCACGCAATGGGCGGTGTGCATAACATCGAGCATCGTGGCGGATTTCCTCATCAACAAAAACTACCTGCGACCCACGTTGACCAGAAAACTATTCACGGCTATAGGTTAGAATTGCATTGAATAAATCAATTTTTCTACTGAAAAAATCCGCAGGAATGATCGTACCGAGCGCCTCGCTGTTCCTTCTGGCCCATTGCACCGAGGAGAATTACATCGAAGGCGTGGTGATGATTCTGGTGTCGGTAGGAGCGGCAGGAGCGAATTGGTCGGCTTGCTGCATCAACAACCTGGATCTCGCGCCGAATTTCGCCGGCGTCCTGCAAGGGTTCATCAACGGGATTTCGCACGTTTTCGCCCTGCTGGCGCCGCTGATCGTGCAGGTTATCGTACACGATGAGGTAGGTAAATATTAACTGGTAAATGGAGATGATTTTTCTGGGTGAATTTTTGCAGAGCGATCCTGCACAGTGGCAGAAGGTGTTTTATATGAGCAGTGGCGTGGCTATAATGGGGGTTATTGTGTACAGTTTGTTCGGATCGGGCGAGGAACAGCCGTTTAATAAAATTGAAGATGGTAACAATGATGAAGAAACGGCGTTGAAGTAGGTTGTGATGATGCAAAAGAATGGTACCGTGGAGTAGATTTTAAATTAAGTAATTTATAAAGTTGTGTATTTATTGAGCGTATAGTGAAAATTCATTAAAAAAGCAATAATTGGTTTTCTCCGTTCGTTTCGCATCTACAACAAAATTGTTGAAAATTAAAAAAAAATCGCTTCCCGCATGGCGGCGAAAACACGCAATTTCAACACTTAATACGGACATTATGAAACGACTGCGGTCGAAACGGCGCGCAAAAAAAACTCGTAATTATATAACTTTTTTTAAACGCGTTCGATTCCGAGCGTTCGCCGGACCGTTTCGAAATAAAAATCCGATTCGTTCATTTGCTGTGGAAATTAGTTTTCATGTAGAAACCGGACTTAATTGGAACGCGTGCGTTTGTTGTCTTTGAGACACAGAGGGTTTGCATTTCCAGGGTCTACCGCATCGCTTGCAACTACCAAGCTACATTTGGCGAGGTAGAGAAAATTCCGCCGCGTTGCCACGTCGCGTAATTTGTCTCGAGAACCGTCGCCGAGCTAATTTCCTCGAACGTCTAATATGTAAATTAAACAATTCGCTCGGAGTTTAGACGCGCCCCCGTTCATTCGGAGTTGAATAAAATCCTGAGGCGTAGCGACTAAAACAGTAAAGCAACTTTTGATGGTTCATTAAGTATTATACAAAGTCTCGCCCGAAGTTTTGTCGCGGCGTAATCCAGAGTACTGGAGATACCCGCCATTTTATCGAGCCGAATTTAACGATAAATAACAATGTAATAACCAAATTTGAATAGTTAAGAGAGTTCTATTGGAATTGGAATAATAGGTAGATTAGTAGAGTAGATTATTTGATCGGAAGAATAAGTAAATTTCGAAATGAGTTTATTTGTACCCTTATCACTATTTTAAAACCTCGTCTGTATGTGAGTTCTCCGCGAGAGAGGGCTGATATTTTAATCACATGCATCCTATAATTCTCAACATGTACAGAAGTTAAGTAAAGTTTGAATTTATCCGACATATCTGGCGTTATTTAAAGCGATAAAGAGCTAATGCGGATGCGAATTTTAGAAGCAAATATGGTTTGGGGGCCCTTTGAATGCGAAACTCGCATTTGTACTTATTAAATCTCGGCATCTATCCCAAGGAAACGTAATTACTTCGAGCGAAATTGCGAATATTCGCGGCGCTCGTAATCGATTACCGTGTAGCAATTTTTATCCTTTTGATATCTATAACTTTTTACTGCGAATGTCGTTTTCTCGCGAATTATTCCTGTTTCGTTGGCCGGATCAGTTTTATAAGCCGCAAGTTTACAACTCTTTTTTACGGCCGCGAGTGGAACAAAAAAAAAGGGCGCAATTTGGAAAAATCCCATTTCCTCCCGTAGGTTATTATTGCGATAAACAACGTCGGGAGGTTTCTTTTTTCCCCGCCCGACCCTTCCGGAACGCTGATAAAGCCGCTCACAAAGGGCGCTAATAAAATAAAAAAAATACACAATCGAGTTGAAGGTTTTTAACGGCATGTTAATTTCGTGTTTGCGATTCAGCGGATTTTATTCGCGAAAAGAACGACCTGATTAGGAACAAAAGTCTCGAAATCTCAATTTTGCGGAATTTCCGCGCTGCGATTTTTATGCGCAAACAATGGCGAATTGCAAACAAAACGATAATAATGGATAATAAGATTTTCTTATTGTCGCAAAATACAAAAATAAAACTTACCGAATGTACTCAGAACATGGAAATCTGATGGTGTTAGTAGTACCAACGCACACTTCAATTCTGAAAACAAAAAGACAAAAAAATCCACATAAAATCACTCGATAAAAATATAGGTATAAATGTAATGTAATAATGGGTATTATGGACACGAGCCTTGGCAACTATCGAACGCCATTTATTTCCCTTCGAACTTTATGATTGACTCGTCCTATTTAATGCAGTTATAAACGTCGGTAAATATCGATTACCGAAACGGGGTTTTAAGTGGCCATTATTGAAGATATAAACAAATAACATTTTCTGGTGTAAATTGCCAGCGAGCCGCTCCCATAAATCAACCGTTTCCGTTATACCGCGTCAAGCCCGGCGATTTATTATTGAGCGCCTAGGTGAGCGAAAATGGTTAAGGATTTTCATTCTCCACCGATTCCTCTGATAGCAGTCTGACCCCGATGTTTTTTATTTTTTTAACGCCGCTGTAAATAATTTTTCCGACTGTACGTTTTCATTTTCTTCGCTAAAATAATTGTCGACTTGTTCTTTAACTTCGACATCAATTCGCCGTTTCACGAGGACCGATCCCAATCTCGGAACCGTTCAAAATACCGGGAAAATATACAATTCGCCCGAGTCGCGTAATTCGCGCCAGTCACGTAACAAAATCGTTTAGATGATAATTAGATGGTAATTGTGTATCGAGATTCGGCCGGAAATTTTTCCCGCATTCCGGGCCGGGAAGTTTGAGGCGCGAATTTGCATAAAAACTTAATACGATTATCAGCGAGATGAATAATTCCTGCTCGTTCGTTGCCAAATTTTGCAATTTTTTAAAAATTAACCCTGATCCTGATCCTGATCCTGATCCTGATCCTGATCCTGATCCTGATCCTGATCCTGATCCTGATCCTGATCCTGATCCTGATCCTGATCCTGATCCTGATCCTGATCCTGATCCACGCTCGTCTATTATCATATTAGGTAAAAATCAGCGATTCATAAACTTAAATTCGCGCGAAGAAGAAAATATACAAATAAAAAAAAATCATTATTACTGGGGGTTGAAAGTTGGGCCGCGTGCGGTCCCGCGGAGCCTTCTCGTCGCTTTCTCGCAAGTTTCCCTAAACACGTAACGGCCGTAAACTTAGATAACTCGCGATAGGTTCAAATAAATGTAGCGACGGAGCAGGGCAGAATGTGTGCGATAATGCACTCTGGAAGGAATTAATATCTCTCGTATGGGCCGTGCGCGTTACACAAAGGCATTCCTCCCTTCAGATCTATATTGGTATACTTATTAACAGTAGCTTGGTTGGGAGTTTTTGTTGAAATTAACTCGCAGTAGAATGGGGAATTGTATCAAAGATTCATTTATATAGTGGGATAAAATTGATGTTCCTTGATAATCCTTAATGATAAAAAAAAATTTTGAAAATCTTTTAATAAATCATTGAAAATCCTTGAAATTTCTTGAAAATCTTTGAACAAATACTTGAAACCCTTAAAAAACATTGAAAATCCTTAAAAATACTTGAAAATCTTTAAAATGCCTTGGAAAGTCTTGAAATTCTTGAAAATCTTTGAATAAATACTTGAGAATCCTTGAAAATCTTTCAATAAATCCTTTAAAATCCATTGAAATTTCTTGAAAATCTTTGAATAAATACTTGAAAACCCTTAAAAAAACTTTGAAAATCCTTGAAAATTCTCGGAAATATTTAAAAAGCCTTCGAAAGCCCTGAAAATCCTTGAAATTTCTTGAAATTTCTTGAAAATCCTAAAAAATCCTTGAAATATCTTAAAAATCTTTGGATAAATCCTTTAAAAACCTTAAAAAATCCTTGAAATGTCTCAAAAATTCTCGAAAATTCTTGAAAATTCTTGAAAATCTTTGAAAAGCCTTGAATATCTTGAAGCCTTAAAAAGCCTGTACAATCCTTAATAATCCTCTATAATTCTTGATGATCTTTAATGATCCTTTATAATCCTTTATTATCTATAACTCCTATGCTCTATGACTCCTCTAAAGTTCCCAAAAACTTCCAATCCTCTGGAGAAAATTCAACAATATCCCAATACTCTTATCTACAGTTAAATTACTAGATACATCTATTTGAAATCTAATCAAAATAACCGAGATATTTAATCATTGAACTCCCACGCTAACGACCGCTTAAGATTAAACGCGTTGTTATACACCGTTAAATTAATCCATTCATTAGTTTAATCAAGCCCGTAACAACCGAGTGTATACGCTTATTTATAAACTTTATTTGCAACGTCAAAGCGAATGCCACGCGGCAACAGTGAAATTTAATCGAGTGCGATACGATTAAAAATAGTTTATTCGCCGAGAATTTACATCAAGAAATGGAGTGGCCCCTCGAATGGGGAATGACGGCGAAATTAGGCAGTGCATAGTTTAACCTAAACCTAAACCTAGACCGCAACAGGCGGGCCGTATCCGATTCGGTTTTACACACATCACATGCTCGGAAATTAATGATGGAAACCGAACGGAATGTTTCATGTTTCGTTCGGTGCAACGGGATAAATACGGCACGCTGAACAAGTAGAAATGCAGATGGACTTTCGGTGTGTTTGTTATCTTTCGGAAGAGGAATCTGAGAAAGGCAATTTCGAGCGACGAATTCCGATTGCGAAAATAGCGAATTTCCCGTCCGATTCCCATCGACAAATTCGAGAATAGAGAGAATGGCTAATGAAAGACAAAGTATGAACGGCGACAATGACAATCTGGTAAAAACGGAAAATCCATCGTCGAAGTCGTCCTTATTTTATGCAAATCCTTTTCGAGACTAAAACGTTTAGCGTGTGTACTTAGGCAATGGAAAAGGAAAATCCAAAAGCAATTATTCTTTAATTTTCGTTCTTCGCGCACCGCAATTTCCCAGCACTAGTCCGTCCGAGCAGTGTCGGAACTCCATAAAAAGTTACCCTAGTTGATTATTAATGATTTTTCCTCGAGTTATTAGGTTTGTTTCAATCTAGACGTCATTCGCGAGGTTTTAAACTGTATTTAATTACTTGATTTATTAGTAATTTATCACTAAATTTACGCTAAATTGTAATTTTTTTCTACGCCAATGGCACGCAGTTATTGCATTATTTTATTTCCTCGTTCCCAGAATTATAAATCCACTCTCGTCTCTAAGTTTTAATTACCGTTTCTAAGAGCTAAAAGTAATGAATTGGCTCGAATTGCAGTCTCGCAAATTTTTTCTAATTTTCCAACTATAGAAAATTATATTGATGAAAATGGGATGATATTTTGAAAAAAAATACCACGAAATTAATTAATTAAAGATGATCGAGGTTCAAAACTTGTGATTTCTTCAGCCATTCTTCTTGAAACTAGAAT